GTCATTTATCCATATTATTTAATTAAACAATTGATTTTACGCGGGTATAATTTTGCTTTTGCATGTTTAGTGGACAAACTATTTCAGTAAATTAAATCAATTAAATATTTGTAACCATACATGATTTATATAACTCCATGGGCTACCGGGATTCCTATGTTATAAGCTTTAACGAAAGACCACCACCGTAGAAAATTCAATATTTTATTTATGACATTATACCAATAATTTTAAACAAATAAAATATTCTACATTTCATTAATTGTAGTGTAAATAATACTAATAAATAACAGTGAATAATGAATATTATCGGTTTGTATAATTGCCACTTCATGTTTTATTATTTTTTATAGCATATCAGTTTCCCTCGAGCTATATCAGTTATTTAATAACTTGTCAGATGAATGTCTTGATAGCGTATATAAGATACATTTCTTCAATATATTATTCTTTAATAGAAAAACGGACGATTCTTCATCATCATTGATTGCCAATGCCCAATGATGTTGCACACAGAAAATTAAAATATATTAATCATACTGGATTTAATATTTGGCTTATCAATAAAACAACGGTGATTAAATTATAATAAAATATTCTTACGTCGACGAATAAGACGTATTTTATTCAATAACTTATCCACATGTCAATGAAAATYGTCGACCATTAGCAGTTAAGTAAAAAATATGCTACTTGTCAGGTGAAAAATTAATTTAAATAATGTGAAGAGAGGAATAACAAATATGTGTTAGTAAATGATAATAGAGCTGTTAGACAAGTTGGTATAATTAATGAAGAAATGTAATAATAATTTAATGAGTATTAATTTTTATGTGTTTTTAATTAAATATATATATATAATGTATTAAATTAATTGTTTATTTCAAATATGTGAAAACATCAAAAAATATAACTATGGAATATATTTTGATTTTTTTTTTTAAAATTTTAATTGATATTAAAAATTATTATAAATGATTACACATTCAAATTATGTATAAATAATTATTTTATTATTAAAATTAAAATTTAAGCAATAAATCATTTCAAGGTTTGAATAAAATACATTTTTTTTTTATTGTAAATATTTTTTGCATGACGTACCTATATCCGATGGTTTACAAA